GAGCGAGAGAAAGGTGACGCTTGTTTATTTAAATCAGGGATGAGTTTATTTCCCGAAATTGTACAGTAATGCTTATTTATTAAATGGATGCCTTCTCCATTAGATTTAGACAACTGTGACGAGATGGTAGCATGGCTTGCTCAGAGGCTGGAAGCTCCCGTTCACTGACTTCTGTTTTCGCCGAGGCAGGCAGACATAGAATGTCGCAGGCAAAGGTAGACGAATGTCACAGTGCACTTACCAAGTTCATTGTAAACAGAATTGATAAGATAATCGATAAGGAATTGAATCGTTTCACGGAATCGATAAGGGAATCGCAATCGTGAAAATCTCTTCAATTCCCAACCCTACATAATAATAATAATAATAATAATAATAATAATAATTTTCGTACATGTTTATAGTTATAGACTGAGCCCGTGTGGTAAATGTCCATTTTGGCTACTTATTAGGGGTGTAAAGAATAATAATTTTGTATCGATTCATCGATCCAACAGCCAACAATCCGATGCATCGAAACATCCGTCCGAGTATTGATTTATGTTTTTGGTCTGACTCCCGTGCTGCGGTGGCACTGAACCTGTTTTGCCCTCCTACCTCGCTTCCTTTAGCCACTACCCTCTTTCTGCATGTGTACACACGCTCACGTAAACACAGAGGTATTATTATTTTTCAGTGAATGAGGTTTTCATAGGCATAGGTAGTGTACAACTTTGCTACTTCTGTTATTTGCTGTTTTTTTCTCATATAAAATGCATAGCTATATTACACCTTTCATTAATTTATTTTAAATTTGAAACATTGTCTAGCCTGTAAGGTAAAAAAAAAGACCAATGAATCAAATTGAATCATATAGTGATGTATTCTTCAAAATCGAAAATAATCAAATTGTTGGGTCAGGAAATTGATACTGAATGGGATCACCATGATGGGTGTGATTTACACCCCTACTACTTATTGCTCAGCAGTTTCTGCGGTTACTGTTATGATTTCTCAGATAATATGTGATGTTCTGCATGTTGTTTTTTTGCAATTTTTTCTCTTCAGTAGATCATGAAATAATCCTGGGAATAGATCACCTTGCATTTGCCTTCTCTTTTGAACCTTACTCTGCTGTATTTCCAGCAACAGCTGCATTTCGATTGGCTGATCAGTAGACGAAGGTCGCAGCAGCTTTAACACTTACAGACCAAACAGACACCGTCACATGTTCAATGCAGGTTATCCACAATGCAAATGCATGTAAACCAGGGGCAAGCATTTTAAATCTTTGAGTATCTTGTAAAAGGCAAAAAGATTATGATGGAATTATATAATTTGCATATATATTTTCTTTGGATACGGTACATAGATACAAGATGTCTCGCACAGTGGTTCCTTCCTCTCCTGAACTGTGAGCCTGTTTTTGTAGCTGCTTGTTTGTTGGCTTGGCAGAGAGCAGAAGTCTCCTAATGTGCCTGGACCTGGCGTGTTGACTTTAGCCAGCCCATGTGTTGTGCTACTGCCAGTGAGGTGTGTTTTTGGCTCAGCTAAAGCCAATCCAAATTGAAGGAGGAAGGAAGGTAAGAGTGCATCTGTTGACAGTGTGTGGGTGTGAGAGACTGACTGTATGGTTCTGTTTGTGCATGCACTTAAAATGGGCCAAATGTCACATTTTAGGGGCTTTGCAAATGCATTCATACTACTTGAAACATTTCACATTTTTCTACCGTACTTTTCATTTTAGGATGGTGGGTTGTTGCTGTTATAGCTCTGAATGATTTTATACAGTTTTATACCTTAGAGCTTTAATTCTGACCTTTCTACTGTGTTCCCCAGTCATCAGGATGCTGTTTAATATCCTCTAATAAGCAACAGAGGCCTTGACTAAAATATTGTCTTTATACTAAGATGAAATTACTTTCTTAGGACACCCGTTAATTATTTAAAAAAACAATAGACACTAACTTGAATTCGGCTTTATTTATAGTGAAGAGGTAAACAAATCTATACATCACAGATTTAAATGTTTTTGTATTTTATTTTGCAAGTCAGAAAAAAACCTGCCTTTTTTGTCCCTTTTTCCGTTTGTGTTCACACTGAACGCGTTTCCAGCGACTGTAGCAAACAATTTACATGTTCTTTGTATTTAGTGGACGTTCAGTAGCAAATCAATGGCGTGGATGCGTTTCTAGTGATGTTATTCATCATTCATCCTCTTCTGTTTTCTCAAGAGCAAACACTAGCCACCATTACAGTTATGCACTTTATATGTTGGTCTATCATATGAAAGACTATTGTAATCAGTTTAGTAAGAACTTGAAGGGCCGTGAATAAATTTACAAGGTACCGTAGTTTACATAAACCCACAAACATCATCAAATGGGCTCCAGCATTCTTACTTTAAGTACCTGATACCTCATAAAACACCCATGTCATTGATGGAGTGAAATGTAACAGCTGCCAACATTTCTGGTTTCACTACACCCAACTAAATAACACAGTAACCACATGGCATTTCTCTATGGTCTTTAAGTAACTCATGTTTATGGTGTTATCTTTAAGTGGGCTGTGCTTGCAAACAACCAAATTTGGGAAATCAAAAACAAACCAAAGACATAACCTCAACACCCTCCCAAATACGTGAGTACCACACACATGCAGCCTTTATTGAAAGAGATCTCAGCTTTCCCTGAGAGCAGTGCAGAAAGCCAATAAAAAGCTTTACCCAGTTTAGCTTGCTTTAAAATAAACCATTCTATTAAAAGATGCACACAGATTCTTTTAGACATTTTCCTGCTTTACTTCTTTCCGCCTGTTCTTCACTCCCACAAGCTTTAAATAATGCTTAGTTATTCTGCAGACAGATGAGGAGAGCGACTGTCATTTAGAATAGCGTGTTCATTGAATCGCGCCATGGGCAGTGATGGTTTATCAGTTATTTGTCAGAACTGGTTTTTATGATGGCAGGATCTAGCTGCCATCTGCTGTAAAACACTAATAACAAAATAAGTATATAAGCAAGAGTAATTTGGCTCGTCTGTTTATTAAAGAAGTCAATCAGGAGTTTACGCTGCATGAAAATATGTCTAAAACACGACCATGTGTTGTTTTGATCACATCCATGCAGAGAAATGTGCACCACATGTGGTAAACGTGAGGCGACTGCAAAGGACCACGGTTGTTCTGGGAAGCAGAGGAAGGAAAGTCCTCAATGTCAGGAAATTAGGCTGGGGTGGAAAGGTGGGCGGTAATGAGGTCTTCTGCGTGTTGGTATGGGAGGGAGCACTGCTACAGTTTGGATTAACTCTGGTTCCAACTAAAAGGCTTGTTATCCTTTTAGCTTGTTTATTTTCCTTATCATTTTTCACTGATAGAAACGAGTATGAACTTAAAACTAAACTTCAGAAGGTTTAACTCACACTTTTTAGGAGTGTAAGCAGTTGGTTTTTTTTTTAACTCATTCTGGCTGATGACTTGTTGCCTGTGTTGATGATGAAATGGAAACAAGCAGCAGAGAAATGAGCTCCATAAGTCATAACCTTGTCCCTGGCTTGCCCTGTTTGGTTCTGAAAACATGGCTAATGGCTGAAACAGGACACAGCTAATCTTGTTATCTCTTTATCTCTTGTTCAGACTGCATGTGCGCCTTCATGTGCTGGTCTGTGTTTTATATACACGGTACCTTACTCATTTCTGTGTTTCAGCTGCAGTTTGTGTGTCTTTTTCTACAGTTTAATAAATGTCCTGCTTTTTCTGCTTTGTGTGAGCACTCCGGCTCTGTTCTAAGATGTAGGGAAGTAAACTATCATGTTTCTGCGTGGAGCATTGTTGATTGTGCAGGCTTTCTTTCTCTACATGTCTGGTAAATTCTGCTGGGATCTGTTTGCTCCCGATGCAGCAAAATTCTCATCAGCGTGGGAGTACAGCCACCTACCAAACTTTTTTATACATCTGTAAAATTCTTTGTAAAGTAAACTTTTGCTCATGCAGTGCTACGTTGTGCAGGTAGACACAGGTTTGATCACCGAAAACCTGCTCTGGACATGTTTGTATAAGTTTAAATGATTGTGTGTGTTTGTGCGCACACTAACATTAAAACTCACTGTGGAGCTCAGCCAGGGCTTAGGGCTTGGCTGAGAGAATGCCTCAAACCAGTTTTCTCTGGTTGTGTAGTAGAGAAGTCTGGGGGCGGGACCTCTTAAAGCTCCAGGCTTTCTCTCGCTGCACATAAGAGTTGGAAAGTTTTTCCAGTTTTTATCGGTGTATGTTTCATAAAAAAAGCGTTTCTAAAACATACCCGCTTGACTGAGTTAGGTTGACAGCCTTCTGTTTTACCAAACAACCTGGAAAAATAAATCCTGTTACGAATGTATGTATGAGTGTGTATGTGTGTGTGTCTGTGTGCAGATGTGCATGTGTGTGGGTGGGTGGTGTCTTCTTGGCCTGGCCTTAAACAATTTTCTCCACCGTTCTCTTTCAAGGACGACAGGAAGTGCAGCCGTGATTGCCAAATAGAGGCAATGGAGACAAATAGTGTGTATGAGGCAGATAAGTTTGCTCATGTTTGCAGAACGCGTACAGGGCCAGTTCTGCAGCGTTTTTCTTTTTTTTCTGATATATCTGCATGTTGAACTCTTTTGGAGCATCTGTGCACATGTGTTTTTATCTTGGTTCAAGTGTACAGCATAGAGGTTCAATATGGGGCTGGACCCCCTTAGCATGGAGCTTAGCTTGCAGGAGGGGAGGAGGAGGCTCAGTTTGTAATGTTTTACAGGCAGTGCAGAAAGCACAGCACAAGGCAGATTCGCCTAAGAGGCTTTCCATTAGAGTATACACGTTTTCTTTGATATTTTGCATAACAACAGAAGATTTTCTTTTTTCCCCCCCAGGTATTCATTTTTTTATGCAAAGCTATATAAGTAACTGTTATAAATTAATACCATTAAAGACATATTTCTTCAAGCATGAGAAGAAAGCATATTTTTCTCACATGTTGTCAATGTTTTCCTGTTTTACAGGAATCCTTCAGGACACGCTGATAAGGAGGTGATGGCTGCAGCGGTCTTGACCTCACTGTCTACATCCCCGTTGGTGCTCTGTCCTTCCTCTGTACCCACAGGTAACACCAGAGCTCTTTCAGCTTCCTTTCAACCCTGCGGCTACAGCTCCCTCAGTGGGAGTTGCATGATCAAACAGTGACTCATCCTCTGTGTTAAATAAATCAAGGACATTCACTTTAAAACCTGCCAAGGGGCGCTAACTCTAAGATGTGAGAGGCTGGAGGGAGTGTGCTATCCAAACCGCTTGATGTTACTTTATCCTGAATTAGGCTGAGCTGCTGAATGTTAAAGGGGATTTATCCAAGGGAAGAGAGAACTTTGAAATGTTATCAGCTCTATTTTATCTTTGGATGTATGCATGTTCACTTACTGCCAGCTGTTAAGTCTGACCCTATAAACACAGCTCACCTCACTGTGTCTAGCTAGCACTGCTGATGTCGCTCTTATCTTGCCAGCTTAACCAGACGGTCAAAGTCCTGAGAGCTCTCTTTCATCTTGGAGGGGTTTTTTTCAATAAGGGAAGGTGGCCAGCTTCATGATGTTTTATAATCTGGAGTTAAAAATTGATTGAGGTCATGAATAAATAGCTTATTTTAACAAAGTCATAGCAGTATCAATATGCTTTAGAATGATTGATGTCAAATCTGGAAATTCCCATGAGCTAAGCTAAAATTAGCTTCATTGTTTATATTGAGTAAAATGAGGCTTGAATGAGCTCTCCTTTGTAGATAATCACAGACATTTATCTTTCTAATCAGTTTGCACCTACTGATATATATATATATTATTTTTTTTCGTTTATGAAACCGCATTTTGTTTATAGCATTTTCAGGTGATGATATAGATGGCTTTTGGATGTGAAATCAGAATTCAACTCTAGGAGAGCCCAAAGAAACTTTGTTAATGTGACTTTTAAAAAAAACAAAACGCAGAGTTGGGATTTCCTGAAAAGTAGTCGGCCACAGTCGGCATACTATTTAGTTTGGCTCCACCCTCAAAGTAAGAAAATGTGACATGAGCATTTAGAAACGGGTCTGTATAGTAGGAGGGAAGCTACAGGTGCATAAAAAGCAGAGGAGGAGCATGACTCACGCTTGTGATATATTGGAGGCTCATGGTATTAAATCTTCAAAATGCATGTGGAGAGTAGTTTACACAGGTGTGTTTAAAAAAAAAAAACTGTTCATATGAGTATTTATTACACAACTTCATACTTTCAGTGTAATATAATGAACGGTAAAAAAAAAATCATATGATCTGTGACACAGCTAGATGTTGTACTTGGAAGTAGAGACTAAGCTGTACTATATCTGTTAATCCCGTCCATCCATCTTCTGCCGCTTATCCGTCAGGGTCAACGGGGGGCTGGTATCTATCAGCAGCAGTCTGTGGTGAAAGGGAAACCCCAGTCAGATCGCCAGTCCTTCGTAGGGCTCTGTTAATCTCATTTTGTGTTATTAAATTTGTTCTAAAGGTAAAACTAAGGTAGAACTATGACTGGACTGTGGAAATGATGTGATCTTTGATTAACAAAAGAACACCAACAACAAAAAACTAAGAAAAACATTATTTATGCACAAATTTAAGGAAAAAAAAGATATAGTTGTGAAATGGGTTTTTGTGGATCTTCATCTCTTTCTTTATTTTGTACACCCAGAACCAGTCAGCAAACCATGGAAAGATGTGCTTTCTGCGAGTTACAGCAGCTCAACAAGCGGTAACTGGAGCTGGGATGCCAGTGACCATTCGGTGCCCTCCACACCTTCTCCACCTCTCTCCAAAGATGCCAATCAGGGTTTTCTGCACTCAGCCCAGGGAGATGATGCAAATGAGGATGTCTCAGAGAGCACACATTTTATGTTTGAGGACCCCATTCCCCGCAAACGAAAGGTAAAAATCCTTATATCTTTATCTAACATGACAAACATTCTCTAAGTTTCAATTTGATGTTTGAATTTTGAGGTTTTAGTCTTCTAAAGAGAAATTTGTTCATTTTAAACAGCAGAAAACTTCTTGTAATAATTAGTAATTTATCTCTTTGCCTTCACTTTCTTGTTTTTTTTTCTAACAAAACAGTCCTGTGTTTTGGATGTAAATAAGCTTTCCAACTGTTTCTAGACCTATCAGCGGAAAAATCGGGAAGCTTCAGCAAGAAGGAAGAGTTCAATTTTCTGAAGAGGTTTTGACATGATAAAAAAGGTAGTTGAAGTGTGTTATGAGGGAAAAGAAGAACTGATGCTAAAGACAGCTGCAGGAGGGGAAATTAATCTCTTTATATTGCTCCTAGCAGAAAGCTCATGCACCATTAATTTGTGGGGGAGTTTTTCCTTTCATTCTCTATGAAATGAAGCAGCAATGCTGAATGTTGAGCTTGTAAATATATATACATATTTGTATGATAGTTGGATTTCTGAGACCATGCTGCCAAATCTATTACTTTCTTTAGATAAGCAGTCATGCTCTTAGATAGAGAATGACTTCCTATCATTACTTTACAAAAAGTTATCTCACAAAATAACCACCATTACTATCACGTCTTGGACTCACAAGACATCAAAATAAATCAGGTCATCCTCTATCTATTCAGCTTCTTCTTGTGATTTTATGATGCTTAAAATTACAATCAGAATCAATCATTTTTTGAAAGGATATTTGTTTGTGTAATTATTTAACGATTTCTTTTCGAACTATTAATTTTAATGTTACTTATTTTGGAAAAATAGAAAAAATCCAAATACAGAGAAAAACAGTTATCCTTTAGAAGATGTAAAGCTTATGTTATTCTTTCACAGTAGGATTGAATGTAAAGCAAAAAGGTGAGTGCATCTGAAAATAGGTCCTCGGTGCACAACTCTATAAAGCAACTTTTAGCTATTTTTTAATGAATTCTACCTATTTTACTCATTGCAAAAAAATAAATAAAAAAGTAACAAAAGATGAAGTGGTTTAATTTGGGACATTTCCAAATCCATCATGTTTCATCAGAGAAAAAGCTCAGAAGGTTAAAAAAGATAATGTTTTTTGGTATTTCTTGGTATTGGGGACCTACTGTACACAGCATGAGAAGATATTCAGGAAAGTCTTACCAGCTGTACCACTGCTCTACATGCCACCCAAAAGCAGAGGAACTCTGCTTTTATACTTGGAGCCTTCCTGTTACCTATAGAAAGTGCTGCTCTCTTGCTCTACTGCCCCCTGAATCTCCTAACAGTTTGAGCCTCATTAACTCAGTAGCAATTGTCCACAGCTGAAAGTTTCCTCAGCTAATGTCAGGTTACCCTCATCTATATTTTCTGGGAACACAGGAAAAAGAGATCATATATTTTAGTTTTCAACCAGCTAGCTGTTGTTCATCAAGCAACAAAAAAATAAATTTGCTCTTTGGAGTGCTGCATGCATAGCATATTTGCAGCACTCTTATTTTTCTTTGTAATGCATAGGATCATTTAGAACCATAATAAAAAAAACCTAAAGATGTCACATTCCTGACTGGCATGCTTCCAGAGCCCTGAGATCCCTGTTAGGCAGGGTCAAGGTCATTAACAGCAGGCTGACCATTCCAGACGCTGGTGAGGTTTTAAGTGATGCATGTTCTGCACGTCACCTCGACTCTGGAGGTTTCGGGCTACTTGCACTTGTTTTATTTTCTCTTTTGGTTACTCAAATTGGCTGTTCTCAAACGCAACAATTAAATGTTTGAAAAATAATCAGGTTCAGTTGTCTTTGCCACATTTTTGCATACAAACCAGAAATGTGACTTTAGTTCCCTTTGCTCTTGAAGAAGACATTCCCAATATAAAAATATAAGAAAGTCCTCTCTGCAGAACTAATTGTTCATTGTAATAGGACCAGTTCTGTTTTATGGATTAGTTAAATCACAGTGGTAAATCATGTACGCAAAGGAGACTGAATGACGGCTGTGTATAAGATGACTAGCAGCTCCTATTAAAGATTGTATTTCTTTTTTGCTGCATTAGGTGCAGTCTTAAGGGGTCTTTCTTTTCAACACTATGTTTGAGGACCGTCGGAGGTGCAGAGAACAATGGTGGTTACTAGTAACCGGAAGGGATCCACGGTAGACTTAATATTAATAGGGATGTTGAAGGGAGGAAATGTGGGTGTATTCCAAGAAGTCCACCTGCATCTCCACTATCCTATACAAACCAATAACAATGGTGTCATCTATAAACTTTAGGCAAGTCACTGAGATCTGTTTATGAGTTTTCATTTATGATCAGATCAGGGATATGATGAGAACATGTGCCTGTTTCAAACAATTTGAGAGCAGCAGTAGGTTTTCTGACTTTGGCAGTGACTTCAGAGGATAGATTTATATGGCCATTACAAGTTTGACTGTCAATCTTTTGAACTTTCTTAAGTGATTTGTAATTTTACGAGGGATTAAACTCCTGCTTTTGCCATTTTCAATTTTCCTTTAAACAGGAGTTAGCAGGTTAGCAAACACTTATCAAAGCAATAAAGTTTGTTGCTTTTAAACAGGAGGAGGGAAAACATGTTGGGAAATTTAACTCTTGATTTAAAGATGTTCCATTGCTCTTTCTGTTTTAGATTTTTTTTCCCTTGCTATGGATTGTTTCAGCACAAAGAGAGAGCATACACCCACAATCTTTCATTAGCTGAGATGCAGGTCTCTACTTGCTCAAGGGACTGCTGCCAGCCCTGGCATGTGGATAAGAAAATGAAATGAAATCAAACCACATGTATTCCATCTCTCCGTTACGGCTTGCTTATGAGTCAAGCAGGAGCATTATGTGTTTTTTTTGTAATAAATCTGATGTAAGCAGGAGGACTTGACATGAATCATTTCAGAGAGAGATCTTTAATAGTGTGTTTAACAATATTGACGTTTTCCTTGGGACTGAAATTATCAGCAAATACTTTCCAGGGTAGTGCATCTCATCATCTTGTGAAAACTTTGTTGGGTTCGTTTGACCTTATTTTTTGTCCTAAATTGCTGATGTTACATGTAGAACTTCTGGTTTTATGGTCTTATTGCTCGAAAAGCAGAGATACAGCAATCGGTCTTTTCTTGGAAAGTACCTACATCAAAACTTTTCCGTCATCTCAGGTTCCAATTATTTGAATTTTTTTTATTTTTTATTTTTTTTTATGAACTATTAACTGATAAAAAAGAAAACTGTGTTGCAGATTGTTTGATGGATGTACAAGTGTATAAACCCACCCAGCATATAAAAGGAAAAATAAGAAAGGTTGGAAGTGCGATGCATTTAGAACGGGTTGTATTTCTCCCACCTATCAACAGTTAAAATAAATCTGTGGAAATTGGAAAATCCGTCACCAATTCACTAAAAATCAGCTCATAGATCTAAAAAATTAGAATTTGTGAGATGGTTTTCTATTTCTTTTTCTGAGTAAACTACAGATCTTTTTTTTTTCCTATCTATTTGATAATGTGCAGATGTCATAGGGCGTTTTTTGCATCACAAAAGTTATTTTTATTATGTTAACCTATAGGCACCCATGCAGTGATAAACATTTGTTATATTTTTGTGCCAAATTTCCCTTTTGTCTTCAGAACTCCATGAAGGTGATGTTTAAGTGCTTGTGGAAGAACTGTGAAAAGGTCCTCAGCACCTCCTCAGGGATCCAGCGACATATCCGCACCGTCCACCTGGGGTACGTCTTTAGAATTACACTTCACCTTTAGCTATTCATTTCATTAGGCCTGCAAAATATAATCTATTTAAAGGGCATAATGACATTTTTTTATTAGATAACAATGCATTAGATTATAGCTTAACTATATCTTTCATTACAGTTTTCACCCTTACTGCATTGCTGCACACACCCACATGCATGTATCCTGACTATGCAACAATATGACTTCTTGACCTCTTGAACTCCAAGGTCCTCTAATTGGGGGACCTTTAGACTCACTGCACCAAAAGATGCACAATGCTGCACTAATTATGTACCAATGTAGCCATACCATACATCAAATTAAACAGGAGAAACTCTGCTACAAGCACATATAAGTCATTTTAACATTCACCAAACACCAAGCATATTGATGTTTAATTATCAAAATCTAAATAACGTCAGAGCATCCACCCTCTCTGCACATGTCCATCGCTACCTCTCTGATACTTCATGGTAGACGAACACATATGAAAGCTAAGATCCAGACGATTTTAACAGTCACTATTACTTCTCTACGACAAAAACTCAGTGAACCAGCAGCCAAAGAATACAAACATAAACAACCGCTTACTTTAAATTACTAACAGAAATTCTATCTTACCTTTGCAATTATGTGAAGAAGACTTGTAATTGAAAGTAAAAAAAAACAAACAAACAAAAAAAAAACGCTGGATTTATTAAGTCCAACATGCCTCCGTTCGTTTTCAACTCTTACCAACTTCAATCTAACTTCACATTTTTTACTAGGAGACTTCCTATTGGACGAACATAAGAAAGTTTGACACAAATTTCAGTTTGACCTCGACATTCTATTGGCTTTAACAGTTCAAACAAGAATTCAATTATCCAAATCGGCCAATCCACTGCCGAGATATTAGCCTGCATATTGAGCTGGTCCGAAAATGGCCGAGGCTTACTTTACGCGAGACGACACACGCGGTGGAAAAAAAAGAAAAAAAAATGTTGAAAATGCATGTGAGGATCATCAATAATGGCATGAAAGTGAAATGTATAGTACAAGTACATTAAAAACATCAAATGGCACAGGTGGTGTTAAAATGTGCCAAGATGGCCATTTTGGAAAGTCCGCCTGAATAGTCTGTACTAAAACCTCTGTAAATTTGCTCTGCTTTACTTCATAAGGATCAATCTTTGCAGAGAAAATGGTCACACATTGTGCAATGCTTGGATATAGATTTTAAACTCCATCTGCATCATTTTAAAGAGATTCATTGAAAAACTGAGGGTTTTTTTTAGGCGGAAGTGAAATCAGTCATCTTTTCTTGAGTTTCATCTTAATTTACTCTGGGTTAATAACACCAAAATTACTCAAATAGACCTTGTAGAGATCTATGCAGAGATATACTCTATTCATTTTGGGTAGGTCATTTTCGAGCAGAAACCTTTAAAAAAGCTGTAGAGCTTAAGAGGTTAAAGAAGCTTTGTTATGGCATGTTTTTTTTTTTTTTTACTGTAACAGTTTTTCTAATATATATAATATCTTTCTACTATTTAACTCTGCTTCTTGCAAACAGCTGAAACATCACGTCCTGTTAATCTACTAAAAATATCAAACAAACAGGATGGATGGATGGATACATGGATGAGAAACAAAGAGGATAGATAAAAGGGCTTTTTTAACCACAATTCTTATTTACACCACTACATGAAAACCCCAGAAAAGGGAAAATTACATGTTTATGTAAAACAGAAAACAAAACTATTTCAAATTAGCAAAGTAGTTTTTTTTTTTTAAACCGCATCAATTTTCCCACCTGAAAACTAATTAATTCATCAAGATAACATAAGAAAACCTTAAAACAGAAATATTTCTCTCTAACAGTTAAATTGACCACATCTGTTATAATAATATTGATAATGATAATAATAATGATGATAGACCTGTACTGATGTAGGCTCTCTAAGACATGAGTTCTTATTTCCAATGGATACCTTTCTATTTAGAAATGAAATATAGGTACTTGTTTATTCTGACATTTAGCATCGTAGGATTTTGATTGATTTTGCAATCCTACATGGTTAGATCTGTAGACTTACTTAAATCAAAGACAAATTGTAAGATTCTCTACCTAAATCCCCATTGGATATGTTCTACACCAGTCTAAACTAGGCTGGTGAAGATCATCATATGGGGACCTTTGGCGTGAGTAGTTGGCTTAAATCCGAATAGACCTCAATTAATCGCAGCCAAAGTAAAAAAAAACAAAACATGTTTGAATTTTCTGGGGCCATTTCTAGATGCAGTCGTAAAGCTAGTATGACCAACCTCCTGTTAAACTGTTACTCTCAAAAGAGTATGATTTGTTCAGCTGGCTTTGGTTGCTTTAACAAATCATGCAGTATGAGCTCCCTCTGTCGACATGAAGACCTGCTAAAACCTGTTAGCGTGTACCTAAGCCTTTTCAAGATCTGTAAAGACTATGAAAGCCTTGCAATGTGTCTCCAACCTTACTCAGGATCCTTTGAAGGAAATCCTTTAAAATGTACATTTTCTAAAGACTAAAATATCAAGCCTTTTCTGGACAATACAGATTTCTGTTTTTTGTTTCTGTTGTTTTGTATAGTAAGGGTGATAAAGGAGGAAAATGTAGATGTTATCATTTTATATTTAAACTATTGTTTCCCAATGTATGCCAAGCATCACAATTTTACATTCTCCATATCAAAATGACTTTTTATCATGTTTGGTCAAATCTGAAGTAGATCAAAGTCCAGAGGATGGTAAATAAAGTGACACAAAAAGTTAGAAAGAAGTGTCATATGTGGTCGTTTTAGTTTCCTTTCTATTCCTGCTATTCCTAATTTTTATTTGTGTTTTTATTTTCATTTACTGATCAGAGAAGTCTTGTTGTAATTGTCTGATTCTAAAATTGTCTGTTGGATATCTGTTGTTTTTAATTGAGACAGTCAAACACATCATGTTGTGATAAATTAAGGCCAGTTATAATTATTATAATGGTTAAAGACGTCAGGGGATTTTTTTTGTTATTATTCACATGTCTGGTGTTGTTTAGAGTATTTTGCTGAAACTGTAAGAAATAATGTTTTCCTTCAATCACAGTTTGTATGAGTCAGGATTTGATTGTAGGATATTACTGCCCCCTGCTGCTGAGAAAATGAATTTGTATCTTGAGAATCGGGGCAAAACATGTCATTTGAAGAAAGCTTTTTCCTTTATAAAAATCTATACATTTCAACATGATCTACATAACTAAAAAGTTATATGTGAAGGAGCAGTACATACCAAAGTCGTTTTTAGCCAACTTTTAAAACTATTTTGTGGGGAATTCAAATTTAATGTTCTATAGTTAAAATGGTCGTATAAATTGATGCGTCCTATAGAGGTCACTATATTGGCCAACCCAGAAAAACTCTAAGATGCTCAATAACTGTGCCAAGTAAGACAAGAGATTATTTCTGACAAATAAAAATTAATAAAAAAAACACCATACATTTAATTTTAAAGATTATTTCACCTATAAATCTTTCTGTCAAAGTTGTGTCCTCAATTTCCGTCAACTCCGTCATTTCTTTCAAAATTCTTGCTAAATCAGGAAATCGCATAGCCTGCAGTTTCCATAAGGAAAGTCCTCTGCTACCTTTCTTTGCTGTGTTCAACATAAATACATATGGTCTGATAATTTTATTTTATTTTTTTAGATATTTTAAACAAACAATGTTAATACTTTAATTTTTACAGCTGGAACATGTCAAAATCATCTAATGATTTTGAGAAATAAATGTAACTTTTGTGGACTGATGTTGAATGATTGTTTGAGACTACTGGGGCAGCTAGCAAGTGGAAAAAAGATCAACTAGCTGTTTAGTCAGTAGCTTGGTGGGAAAAAACTTGCCTTTTTGTCAACTCCTTCAGACATTAACTCCGTCAAATTCTCTGCAAGTCGGAGTTGACAAATCCAATCAAAATCTTTTAGCACACAAATATAACTTTATGTGTGAACATGGAAAAAATAAAAATTTATTATTTTTTTTATTTAACCTTATACTTGATCTATTACACCTCTAATGGACTAGTTGAACAAGGACAGGTTGTGGACTGCTTTTTACTCTGAAATGTTTTTAGTATTCATATAATTTCATTATTTATTTAGTTAAGTTGCAAATGTATATACTTTGTTAATGTATATTCGAGAAAATAAATGTTAAATTGAAGGGTAGCCGCTCTTAAGTAGCTACTGTTTCTCCTGTAAAAAAAAAAAAAGAAGAAAGAAAAAGACCAACTTTTGGATTTTAGATAAATAAGTTAATAAATGTCAGAAGTCAATTAATTAAGAATTGGATTTTACACTTTAAATTTAGAATATTTTTCCTTGCTCTCATTTGTATTGCAGATAAGCATGGCTAGACAAAAACTGTCTGTTCAGGAGCAAAGGAGAAGAAATTTAGAGTATCAGCAAAAGAGAAGGGTGAAAAAAATAAATAATTACCCAGTGAGCAAACATGAAATGCGAGAGAAGGAAAGACAAAGGTGGTATAGTTTGTTGAAGCAAATATTTTAGTCAGGGCACCATAATATTACAACCAGTATTCCCCAAAACCCCATTATGTAGCTCCCAGGTTTGGGGAAATAAAGAAGTTTTTAGAACATATTTTGGGTTTTATGTGTTTAAAAGCTCTAACTGCTTTTATCTGCAGGCGAAACAGTGACTCAGATTACAGCGATGGAGAGGAGGACTTTTACTACTCAGAGATTGAAGTCAACATGGACAGCCTAACAGAAGGCCTGTCCAGCCTCACGCCTACCTCTCCCACCACGGCCGGTCCACCGCCCATCTTCCCCCTGCCACTGAGCGACGTGTCCCGTACTGAGTACGTCAGTGTGAACGGTTCCCAGGGCAACCTCTCATCACTGCTCAGTCAGTCGGCTCCCTCCGCCCTCTGCCACATCCGTACCGACCACGCCTACCAGGTAATTCCCACACATACTGTTGTATTGGATTCCTTTCATATGGAGAGAAAGTCGAATAGATCAGTGAGTTAGACTAAGAAAGATGAGCAGCTCTAGCATAGATGTGGCAGTTTAGCTGTGATAGAAACAAACTCAGAAAGTGTTTTCAAAGTTTAGTTAGAATTGAAATCAGAAAAAATAGATGGCAATGAAATGCCCATTTCCTACTTGTTGCATCTTAGTTTTTGTACCTCCATCTTCGTCTTCTGCGTATTTCTAATATTTTTCTTTCTTTTCATTTTACTGCAACACTTCTTTACATGTAGAATAAGGTAAAATAAATATTTTCTGCTATGTTTGTTGAACGCAGTCTTTTTCAATCAGGAAAAAACTTTTTTCCATAAAAAAAAACAAAAAAAAAAAAAAACATGTAAAAATAGCTATTGGGTTGTTTTGCAACTGCTTCAGTAGAACATTTTCTGTCCAACATTCAGAATTCTAACATGTTTTTAAAATTATTTTTTATAATCTTACAAAAAAGCAACAGTAAAGTGTAAAGCTGGAATAAATGGCTTCCCACTAACTGTATAATCTGTTCCACCTCTGTTCTCCTTCCATCTGTTTTTCCCCTGCAAATTTCCTGTCCCTCCTTGTTTCTTTTGTGTTCACGTCCTGGCTGTGTGGGTTGGTTGTCCACGTTCCAGGCCACCGCTCCAGTGAGTATCCCAGTAGGTCCTGAGCTGGCTGGGATAGGCAGTGGTAATGGGATCGGGCCTGGAACTGGGACTGGGAATGGCATCAGTGTGTCTTGGCAGCCCCCTCCTGTCATTTTTAAAGGCGCCCTGGTGAGTGAGGCTTTGTCTCACACCTTTTAATCTTAATCTTCACTTCCTCCCTGCAGTTTCCACTCAGTCATTTCAGTCCATTTTGCTAAGTGTGGTTTTGATTAGTTCTTGCTGCCCTGAAGTAGCTATATTTGCCAATTGTTGTGGCCCTCTTGTTTGCAAGGCGTTGCTATTATTTCAAATTGAATCACCCATTAAAACCCAGAATTAGATTCTATATAGCAATTATACATTTAAACCATTTACTAAGTTAAACTAAATATAAGAAAGGCTTATTCTGAATCAAGGTCTGTGTGGTCGGCCTCGGCAGATGGCCGCTCACACCACGCCTGGTTCTGCTGGTGGTTCCTGTTAAAAGGGACTTTCCTCTCCACTGTCGCTATAAGCATGCTTGGTGTAAGGGATTTCTTTCGAAATTAATGAGTCGATCCAATCAGCTGGTTTACCTCAGATAGAAAAGTTTGAAACAATGACTGTACTATCCAGATGAATTGTCTCTGTAAAGATGAAATGTGTTGTGAATTGGCTCTATATAAATAAACTTAATTTAAATGTTGATAAAAAGCAAAAAAGCTATAAAAAGGAAGTAGTGATATCATATTGTATTCTAAACATCGTTGCATAAACTTGCCCCAAGATCTTTACTAACAGAGAAATGTTCCTTCACATGCTCTCAGTCTCAACGGGACATGTATCATAATTATACACTTGATATTTATTATTTTTGTTCCCCAATAAAACCAGATGCTGTGAGACCTCTTTGTGTCTCTGCCTTACTAAGTCTATGTTTTACCATCTGTGCAGGGCCCTGTGACACATGTTCGCACCGTTAGCATCGGTGAAAAGCGGCAGCCAGTAACCAGCACGCACACCCCTGTTAACAAGAACCACGCTTTAATAACGCCGGCAACTAAATCAGCACCAGGAACCAGGTTTGTAGTGGTCACCTGCATATGTCTAGCGTTTTACTGTTAAACTGGTTTGAATTAACTGATTTTTGATGATCACTTCAATGTATCAAAGCAAAGTTGACAGTTATAGTGATTGTCATGACAGTCGATGTAGTTAGATTTTGTTGTAGTATAGAAGAGTGTATAATAGTTATATATA